GGTGGCTTTCCAAAATTGCTATTGGCTACTTGTCATCAAGGAATTTAATTATAGGATATCACAAATTGACCTGAAAAGATATTTTGTAAGAACAGTCACCTGTTTTTCCATCACAAAATGACGTTTGTTAAATACAAAAGAAATTATGCAATACCAAGGGTAAGCTTTAATCTTGCAAAACTCAGAATTGAAATCTTTGTTCACATAGTAACTCAAGTCCCTTGTTACATTTTGAATACAAGGAGTACTTGTGGCACCTTAGAGACTAACCAATTTATTTGAGCATAAGCTTTCGTGAGCTACAGGTTAGTCTCCAAGGTGCCACAAGTACTCCTTTTCTTTTTGCGAATACAAACTAACACGGCTGCTACTCTGAAACCTGTCATTTTGAATACAGATTGTCAATTTTGCATATATACACAAGAAATGTGGTTGAGTTACAGTTATTATAGAAAACGAAACTTAAAATGTCCTGAGTTTGGTGTGATTAAAACCACTGTGAAAATTGGCTTTTTAATTAAAAAAAAGGAAGCAAGGGGTTAAAAAAAAAGTTCCAACAGAGAAAGAACGAAAGAAAATGAATGGGAGAAAGAAAGGGAGAACAGAAGAAATGAGTGCGTAAACATAAAATGATAATCGGTAAAAATTTTGACACAAGTGGACTGATTCTTTATACCATCAGTTTTACACTGGTTTGACTCTACAGCCTGCAGTATTACTCCCAATTTACACTAGTGTAAGTCAATTGAGAACTGGGGCCATAACACTTACATTAAGCGCACATTTGTGATTAAAACAAAAATTAAAATTTCTGGAATAATTGTTACAGTCCAAAAAATAAAGACCGGTGCATTTCAAAATGTTTGTTTACCGTTTTAACACGTCTAGCTCCAGAGCTGCTACACCGAGTAAGTTGAAATTCTGCTGTGGAAGACCAAGATTTGGATTTTCCAATGCTCCTACATGACTTTCACGAGCACCAGTCCAACTGAAAGTCAAGTCAATGGAACTTGTGCTCCTAAATCCTCTAGATAGTTTTGAAAATCCCAACCCAAGTAACCTGATTGTATCTGCAGAACTCCATGGGGGCGTTTACAAAGGAGATGGAATTCATCTTCCATCTCAGAAAGAGGCTGTGGGGCATTAATTCAGCCCCTTGGGAAGATTTCTGCACCGCTACATACACAATCACAGATCCAGTATTCCTAATCCTTGAATACATTAGCCTACTCAGACCTAAGACATCTACAATCTCTGGCTGTACAAGGTTTACGTGGTCTAGGGGGGCCTTCAAGCCTCCATACCAAGGATGAATTTCAGACAGTTCAGCACACTGACACTCTTTATACCAGGGTATCTACATATATACCTGCAGGGTCATCATCTGGGAGATCAAGGAGATTTGTAGAAGTAAAACCATGAACTTCAAGGAGCTTGAGATCTTGCTCCCTTCCCCCGCCACACCCACACCCACCATTACATAGAGAATAGATGGGGACAGAATAGTTGAAGCTGACCTTTAGGGTAACTGGGATCTGGTTTGCAAAAATGTATACATATGTTCTCTTACATACTTTTCATTAACTTCCCCCGACCCCCAAACCTTCTCCCTTTGAAGACTGCTTTGAAAATGTAAGTCTACTTAAAATTTTAAATCAATCAGCAGGGCTGAGAGCTCTCACATTTTCCCTAGAGATCACTGGTTATCCATGCCAGTACTGGCCTTTCAGGTTTGTAAGGCCACTCACACACCATGGTACCTTAACTACCTAAGCTGCATCTCTCATTACTGTCAAAAGGTACAGGTTTAAAATCATGCAGTAACGTCAAGTTCTCATACCAAGTATAGCTGAAGATACTCCTTCAGCACTCCAATCTGGGGGTGGGGATTATACGTACCACCGGGAAAGTTAATACACAAAAATCCAATTTTAGGAAAAGAGGGAACATTTTGGATGGATCTATCCACTTAAAAAACCCCACCCAGCTGGTTTGAAGCTGCAATTTCAAGGATCTTGACATGAACACCTTCAAGCCACCCATCCAGAGTAGACTGCTGTATTTAAAACAATCCTGAGAGTACATGGACATTGTCAAAGACTTCATTTTGGGTTTGCCTACCATTCTTCATATGTGACAGGGTGTAGTCTGTCTTCTTAAGGCGCTAGTCAGATTTGATTTTGTTTTCCTTAAGGATTTAGGTCACTCTCCTGTTCGGAGTTTCCTTGTTCAGCGTGGCATTGGTGTGAGTGAAATGGATTGGAATGAGGTGCAACAGGTAGAGGCTTCTTTTGTTTCTTCCTTCTATTAGCTGCAGCAGCAACATGTCCTTTTCTTCTCACAGAGCCAACACAAGTCGAATAGGACATGCACCAACGGACAAGTTATACTGATAATTACTAATGATTTGGAGACTGAGATGCAACGCGTTAATAACGGAGAATCTGGAACTTGGGGAAACTATTTTTAAAAGGCCAGAATCCTCAATAAAATAGAGGCTACCAGAAAGCACTGGTCTAGATTTGGCTAGTAAGCCAAAAGTTTAAACTGGTACTGATAAATAAACAGGGGTTATGTATTTTGTTTTGTCCTTTTCCCCAAGATGAGGATGACAAATGAAATTCTCCACCCGCCTCCAGAATACCAGGGGGGTTTTGTTTGTATTTTAGGGAAAGAACAAACCAACTGAGCCACTCGAACTGTGCTATTACCTTAACGATATTCTTTCAATAGTTTTGTCTTTTCCTCCACCCCCCTCCCCTTTTTTTTTTTTTTGACAACATGGGAGCAAGAGGGAACCAATAGTTCTAAGGAAGCTAAAAGTTAACATAGCTTTCTCTCTCTCCTTATTGGTGACCCAGGATCACCAATGACAACACCACAGCTTTGAGTAGATAGCTTAAAAACCTAAAACCGCAGCTACCCTTTTATAGATGCGCACAATACCTTAATTAGCAACAGTTAATTTAAAGGCAGATCTAAAGTCTCAAAGTCCCTGATATCTAGAGCACACACCACTTAATATTTTAAAAAACACAGAACAAACAGAGGACAAGATAGAATTTACCTAGCTTTAGAAAAAACTTTGCCCAAACAACTAAAAGCCACCAGGAAAAACAAAACTGTCATGAGTTGCTAAAATATACTGAAATACTTGGAGACATGTTATGTATGACTTGATTGAAAAATGCATCCTTAGTGAATAAGATTCTTAATTTGTTTACCTTTTGCTTAAAATATTTTGTTTGTTCAAAGAGTAAGAGAAAATTACTTTGTTTTGAGGAAAAAATAATTAACAAAAGATTGATAAAAGTAAGATGGAAAACTTATAAAAACAACAGTCAGGCCTAAGCCTGCAATGAACTCAGTGCAAACAGATCCGTGGACCAATGGGCTAGTGGTTTCAATGGGACTCTATGTGGGGGCAATGGTTTGCCCACAAGAACTTGGTTGAGCATGTGGTGCCTTACTTACAAGAACTGTCAGAGCTCATTACTTCCGGAAACTACACCTGCCTCATCTAAAAGAAATGCCAGGGAAGTGACTCAGCCATTTTCCTGTAATAGGTGTGTCTGCTGTTCCTTATATACAAACTAACTCCAGAAGTTACACAGTACATTCTCTTTAGATAGTTTAATTACTGAGGGAATGACAGGCTGGCTGAGCAGCTTCACTTGTAAATCACGGACTACTGAAAGTCACAATCAATGAACTTACTCCTGTGAGAGGCTGACCACCCTCAACCCTTTGACTTCAACAGAATATTAATGCACCCAGAACCTTGCAGGATACAGCCCTGAATTAAGAGCCAATAAAAGAACTGTTAGACCACCCACTAAATGATGTAATTCATAGTAGAAACAAATAAAAATACTAAGTAGTTCTCACCTACATATTTGTCATCCCATTATTACTTTTACTGTGCCCAAAAGCATGTTAGAGGCTTTACAGAACACAGGGAAAGACAAGTCCTTCCTCCGGAAATCTTACAATCTTCAAGAGTAATAAACACAAAGGTGTGAAAGTAAGACACAATTAGATTTGTAACATCAAACAACTTGAATGGCAATGTATGCTTTTTAATAGTTCTGGGCTATTTTGGGTTTGTTTTTATATACAGCCCATATTCCAATCACTAGTTCTTGCCAGATCAGCTCACTTTGTCTAAGCAACGCTGCAGAAGTTTGTTTTCAAAAGGGATTTAAAAAAGGAAAAAATTGAGGCCCATGAATAGATTCCAGGAAAACATTTCCACATGGCTTCGAATGATAGCTGGCCAATCACACAGGGAAATACAGGAGAATTTTCCAAGTCATTCTTCCACTTATTACCCCGAACCAAAATATAAATGCTTCTAAACTTGTCAGGATAAAAAATGCTTTACTGGAGCTAAATATTTCATGCAAAAAACTGCTGCAAAAATCAAACCATGAAAGCTTCACACAGCAGGGTTTTATTTTACATTACAAAATTACTACATTTTCACATGACCTCTGAGAAACCTACTGTGAGCGTTACAGACTGCCAGGGCAGTAGCCAATATTTTACAAAAGATTCCTTGCAAGAGGAAGGACAGGGATTTTACAATAAAAGATCATCACAAGCAGCTGAGAAGCTTAGTTGTCAAGACCACTGCTAGTTCAGTCTTTAAAGTGTATTCACAAGGCACACACTAACAATAATCCTGTTTGCTAAAGTACCTTCTTAAAAACAGACTCTTTGGCCAAATACTTTAATTAAACAAAACTAGTAGCAGTTGTGGATAAGGTGCTTTCACTTTTGAATACAGTATCTTTTTAAAATGAAGACTAAATATCAGGGTTGATTGCATTCATTTCTTTGGGATTTTTTCTTTTCCTTAAATTTCCAGTTACAATCCCTATGAAAAGTAGAAGTCCCACTGTGCGGTTAGAGGTAAACTTCTTCCAACAGTCTTCAGGTTTGTGTATGTCCAAAGTGTAAATCTGTGAAAGTACAATATAATGTTCTTTTGTTATTATCTATAGTACCACAAACATGCCAGACACTTCAGAAAAGACACACGTCCCTACCTCAAGGGACTCACAACGAGCTCCACACAGGCTAACTTCGGTGCCTCCACTGGATTAGATACAGACACAGAGGTCTGCCTAAATGCGCTTGACAAATGGATGAAGATATATCAGAAAGGTACAGAGAATGAGTAACATGTATGGATACTAAGGACCAGATTTTTCAAGGTATTTAAGCACCAAAAGATACAGACAATAGGTGCACAGTGTATTATCTGTACATTTAAAAATCTGGCTCAAAGATTCAATACAAACACACACATAAGAATACAAGAGTTCACAGGAAAGGGGTTCTCAAATTGTCATCCAAAGAAAACTCCCAGGAGACCTGCAACAGCAGCTGGAAATAAGGTTTAGCCAGCCTAGTTGCCTCCACTGTGGGCCACTGCTACTTAAAATGATGAGAGAAAACATGAGCTGCCAGTGGGATGTTCAGGGTACAAAACAGGATGATGACCAAGCAACAGAGAAGCAAGTGCAAGAGGAGGGCACATGGGAAAAGAGATGAAAGAGGACTGAATGAATAGCAAAAGACGACTGCAATTAGCTTTTTGAAAAAGATCATAACAGCTACCAAACTAAAGACAGTTGAATACCTAAATACCTTCCTAATATCACTTCTGCGTATACATTTGCTGTACTGGGCACAGGGACAAATGATCGGTTACGTTGTTCTTGATAACTGTTCTATACTGCCCTCCGCACAGAGTCTTATGTTTTCATTCTCAAATATCCAAGCCTACCTGGTCTGGAGAACAGAAGTTCTCATGCTGTGCCGACTGCCATGTAAGGGAATTCTGGCCATTCAATATTTGCACAATTAGAAAGAGGGAATTTAGTGCTCATGAAAGATGCCAGGCCAGCAGTCAGAGAGAATGAAATCTATCCATAGAATACAGCTCCAGTATCAGATGTGCAAGCTTCTTCACATCACCCCAATGCACCTCACAACCCTGATGTGGGGGAGATCATAGATCAGGCTCCACGCCAATTATATTCTTAGCTTCTTGACTACTAACAAGGCTGCCAGCTGGGATATGGACACTTCTCTATTACCAAGAACTACCTCTACACTTCTATTACCACCAGTTTACTACTGAGACCACCAGCTTATTTTCTACAGACCACTTACAATCACTACAAGCCAGGTCCGGATATGAACTGATGATTCAACTTAAAAATAAGAAATGTGAGTATATAAAAATGACACCTACTCATTTTGTTTATTCTGAGTCCTAGCGGCTCATTCCATTGATTTAAGCAAGTTGGATTTTTACTACATTTTACTCATCAGATCACTAAAACCAATATAGGTACGAGACAGCGAACTGGACTGCTTCCTGGCGGGCACTTACACAGAATTGTTAACTAAATTATAATTCTAGGATATTTGCAGTTGTTGATAAAGTGTGAGACAAAAGGAACCCAGACTGCCTTTCAGATCCCAGACTGAGTTTGCAGGGCTTGCAGTTAGAAAACATGTATTCATTTGTAAGCAGTGCCAATTTCATTGAGTTCCTGGGAGACAAAAACAACAATGCCATTTTTCCATGGCTGTTTTTCAGAGCATAACCCCACTTAAAGATTCTGCATCCATTGCCAAGCCATTGGGCCATTTAGTTTCCCCTCATTAACCTTTATACACCTTTTAATTTAAGCGAATATTCCTAATGTATAGTAGAACCTCAGAGTAACCAACACCAGAGTTACAAACTGACCAGTCAACCACACACCTCATTTGGAACCAGAAGTACACAATCAGGCAGCAGCAGGAGCAGAGGAAAACAAAAAAGCAAAAATAGTACAGTATTAAATGTAAACTACTAAAAAAAATAAAGGGGAGGCCACATTTTGCTTCTGCATAGTAAAGTTTCAAAGCTGTATTAAGTCACTATTCAGTTGTGAACTTTTGAAAGAACCGCCATAATGTTCTGTTCAGAGTTACAAACATTTCAGTAACAAACAACTTCCATTCCCGAGGTGTTTGAAACTCTGAGGTTCTACCCTATTATGTACTCTAAGGTACGCATCCAAATGCCATGGTGATGGCTACATTAAACACATTAGGAGAGGACTGCTATATGCTTAGGTATATAAAGACAGACTTGCCTGCAGCTGTTATTGAAAAGCCTTCTTTTTGCTGCAGCAGTCTGAGACAAGATGGCTGAATATTTTAGGTAAACTGATACAGGATTTGTAAACTAGAGCTTCCACTTAGAAAAGAAGTACAAAAATAAGATCAAACCTGGTGAGCTAAGTGAGCACTGATGGTAGCCACAGCTGTGTAATAGAGGAAAGTCTGATCACAGTTTATTCCTGCCACACTCAGACCCACGAGCATTGCAACACTGAAGCCACTGAGCCACTGCTTTGTGTTTTCATTGAACCGTAGTGCTGTTGATTTCACACCAATGACCATGTCATCTTTTTTATCCTAGAATAAAGAAGGTTATTAGAAAAAACATAATACCCCTAGCAATTCACAAGTTGAGAAGTCATGGGTGGGGAAAGTAGTTTTAGGGATGTCATAGAAAAGGCTGTGCCTTAAGGCCAAGGTTTTCAAGAACAGGTGTCTAATGTTAGGCTCCTAAATCCATTTTAGGCACCTAAATAAACAGCCTGGTTCTCAAAGCTGCCTAGCATTTGACTGCTGTTATTGACTGTGCCATACCTAGATATACACGGCACTTTAACAGTAAGGGCTCTACTCAGGGACATGCATAAACTTATTTACACAGATAGTACAGTGAGCAGAAAAACATGGGATGACAGGGTAATTAGCGGGGTGAAAACTAGTGGATAAGAGAAAAATCTCTTAAAAGCATTTCTAGGTTTTAAATCTTCTGATTGCAGTGGGAAGATTAGTAGTGCCATGCAAGTCCAAAGTAGTGAGTTTTATATATATAAATACACACACAGTGAGAAAGTTAACAGTCAATGTCATTACTTCACCTGATGTGCATAGATGGTGTCATATATCAACGTCCACATAACTCCAGAGAAGTACAGAGGCAAACACACGGACCAATCACATGAACCTTTGATGGCAGACCACCCAAGTAAGGCTCCCCAATTAAACGTAAGTCCTGTAAGTAACAGAAATAAGAAAAATATACTGAATTATAGGGTTCTAAAATATAAGAGTCAGGAACAATCTAAATTATATTTTTCATCAACATTTGACACTCAAGCATCTGTGTGGTTTTTGATTTTTAATCCCTACACACTTACAGGATGGGGGACTCTCTCCTGGGAGGCAGTGACTCTGAAAAAGATTTGGGAGTTGTGGGGATAGTCAGCTGAACATGAGCTCCCAGTGCAACACTGCGGCCCAAGGTCTAGTGCAATCCCTGGATGCATAAGCAGAGGAAACTTGAACAGGACTGGGGAGGTTATTTTAGTTTTGTATTTGGCTCTGGTGAGACCGCTGCTACAGTACTGTGTCCAGTTGTGGTGCCCACAATTCATAAAGGATGTTGATAAATTGGAGAAGGGGTTCAAAGAAGAGCCACAAGAATGATTAAAGGATTAGGAAACATGCCTTACAGTGACAAGCTAAATAGATTGAGCTCCTTGAGCTTAACAAAGAGAAGATTAAGGGGTGACTTGCTTAAAGTCAAGAGACTTAAGGTGGGTGAGGGAATATCTTTTATTGGACCAACTTCTGTTGGTGAGAGAGAGCTCTTCTTCAGGTCTGGGAAACTTACTCAGAGCATCACAGCTAAACAACACACATTGTCTCTCCCACCAACAAAAGCTGCTCCAGTAAAAGCCATCACCTCACCCACCCTGTCTCTTTAATATCCTGGGACCGACATAGCTATAACAACATTGATGACAAGTACCCACGTGGGGAACAAGTATTTGATAATAGACTCTTCAATCTGCCAGAGACAGGAATAACGATCCAATGGCTGGAAGCTGACGCTAGACAAATTCAGACTGGAAATCACAACGTACATTTTTAACAGTGAGGGTAATTAACCAATGGAATCATTTATCAAGGGTCATGGTGGATTCTCCCTCACTGGGGATTTTTAAATCAAGATTGGATATTTTTCCAGAAAACATGCCCTACAAATTATTTTGGGGAAGTTTTATGTCCTATGTTATATACAAGGTCAGACTAGATTATCACAATGGTCCATTCTGGTCTTGGAATCTATGAACCCAGAAACACTGAACTCTTACAGGAGGATGGAGGAAAAGGGAGTATTATTCTATTATTTTCTCATGGGAAAAGAAAGGAGTTATATGGGAAAACAGGAGTGCTGATCAAAGTAGGAAACACCACTCATCTCCCTTCTACCAATCCTTGGGTTTCCATGCTCTTCTTGCATCTGCAGCAGAAGGAAAGTGACTAACACTCCAGTCTCTGAAATATTTGGTGAGAACACTGACAAGGACGCTGGCTAACTGCTTCTATTAGGGACAGTAACACAGAAACCATATGGTATCTGAAGGGCAGACAGCTGAGCTGTTATCAGTACATTGCAGCGTGCAATGTTTTCTCTTTTTACTTTTTTTTCTTCTTTTTTAAAATTTCAGAAGAGTGCAGTGAGTGTTCAACCAAGAAAAAAACAAAGATAAGCCACATGAATGGTTATAAAATCTTAAATGTTTATCACATTGGGTTTATAACATTTACATACAAATTTTCAACGGAGTAACAATAAATCTAAGTACCACGTATCACACAGTATAAATAGCAACACAGTCTTTCTCTAAATTAAATTTGATTTAACTAACAGACACACACACCCATCTTGCAAACAGTTGTAGATGTGACTAGTCCCAATGAAGTCAGCAGGACTACCCATATATCTCAAGTTAAGCATGTTCTTAAATGTCAGGCCTTAAGCTTAATATTTGTTCTTTCTAGAGAACTGTTAAAGAAGAAAAATGGAAGGAGAACAGAGCAGACAACAGTGGTGGTTACTAAAGGTGGTAGATATTAAAAGTGATTACTAAAAGTGGAAAAAATATATGAAACAAAAATTTTAAGGTAGGACACCACACTGGGTGAAGCTGGAATACAGTGCAATGCATCTGTTTACCCGAGTTAATTTAAATGTTTAAGATTGTAATACAGGGTGAAATACATATTTAAGAAAAATTTCCGGAGGCTGGGAGAAAAATGTCCCACATCTCCCACTTGGTACTCAGTTGACAAATGGATTATTTCTCAGCACCAGAGTATGGGGAAAGGAGGAACTACATGAGGGAAAGAAACTCCAAGTATTTTACTAAACGTTTAAGAAATGTGGAACATACCAATGACCTTATTTGTAGTTTTAGGCAACCTCATTGATATTTAAGTTCAAGTATTACGATTTTGCCAGAACACTAAAAAAAAAAAATTACATCTGAAAGCAGAGAAACTAGCAATTTTGAAGCTCACCCAAAACCAACTGTGGCCAATATGTGATTCTCTTCATCAGGGGATAAGTGATCACAAGAGACAGAGAGGCTGCTCCTAGGGCAATACTGTAATGAAAGAAGTTCATTAAGATACTTTATATGGTTTACTTTAAATAATTCTATTGTACTCTCTTTATTCCCTGGTCTAAGAAACAATACTGTGTTGGGTCGCCCTCAAAGTTATATAAGTATGATAGAATTATAATTATGTAGTAGCAGAAATAAAGATAGACAAAAGAGTTTATAGGTATTGTCAAAAGGTATGAACATCAGTTCCATGCTGTTGAATTTCACTCTGTAACAAATGCAAGGCCAAAGTGCTAATTATTTCAGGCCGGTACAGGACGAAGAGTCTGTGCTGGAAAGTGATAAGAACTTTGAGAAAACAATGCTGTTCTTTGAAGCAACACCCTAATGCTCTTCCCCCGCAGGGGCTCCTTGTCATGCCTATGTAAATCTTGGTATCCAAAGAGGGAAAAATAGATAGTGGGACAAAACTTGTTAAATGAATCAAGAGTCATAGATTGTGTTGTTAAGTAAAAGAATGAATGATGAGTGCATGGAATTGAGAGCCTGAAGCAGGGAAATAATTGGTTAGTAAATGGTGCCAGCCTAATCCTAAGAATTTCAACCTTGGTATCGACTGGCCGAAGAATATGCAAAGTGGAGATAACCGGATGACCCACGGAGACCCAAAACGCATCAAGGAAGAACAAGAAAATAACACCTAGCCATCATGAATGTACCACCTGCTGATTGATGGTCATCTCAATTGTAAATTCAGCATGATAAAGCAACTTCCATAGACTTGTACTGAACCAGAGACTTATAAAAATTGGGTCCATGGACTGTGCTCTTTGGTTCTACGACCATGCTCCAAGAGCATCGGATGCGCATCTGACAATGACTCGGCTCCACTCTCGTGTCCAGGCCACCTGGCCAGTGACTTGGCACGAGCAACGTCTAGGCTGGTAACTCTAACAACCTTTTTGTAGAACCTGTGTGTGAATGGATCTATATAGACATTGCATATAGGAATATGTTGTTGTATTTACAATAAACGTGGCAATTTGCCTTGTCCCTCTTACAAGATCCTGTTGCTATCATTTTTATTAGTGTAACAACTGTAGTATCAGAGGAGTGACGCTGTAGTTAAGACTGAAAGTATTATTTCATTCTAAAACCATGGATTTGGTTGCTTTCTCAAAAAACTGCCTTGTCTGTTGAAATTCATCACACTTAGCTTTAGCCTGGTAGCGAAATAGTGTAAGAATAAAAGATCACATATACATTACCTATAGTAATTTAGACACAGAAGGACACACAAAGCCAAGCTAAGCTGTCCCCCAAGAAAAACGAAGGACTGAAAAGTTGAGATATCTCCAACAGCTATTGGTCGATTTGCTGTTCTTAAAACCTAAAAAAAGAATAGTTTCAATACTAAATCCAATACAGTGAGTTAAAATACACATTATATCTTAATGCAAAGTTCTTAATGCAAAGTAAGGTGGAAAAATTAAGCCCACGAGTCAGGGAATTCAAAAGTTAAGGTTCTGACACCAATATTACCTCTACCACATTTCACATCCTGTATATGGTACATATTTACGAATAAACATTAAAATCTTCTGCTAAAATATGGAGCATTTTAAAAATGAAAGCAGGATTATGTGTAATGAGGCTGAATTAGAGCTACTGTAGAAAGTATAGATTTGAATTTTATTCTTTGTGTGCTCAGTGCAATATTGAGAAATTAACTTTTTGCACTGAATATCCCTATTTTAAGTGTTTCTGTACAAAGATGTCTGTAATAGGGTGCACAGTAGCAGCCGTGTTAGTCTGTATTTGCAAAAAGAAAAGGAGTACTTGTTGCACCTTAGAGACTAACCAATTTATTTGAGCATAAGCTTTCATGAGCTACAGCTCACTGCATCCGATGAAGTGAGCTGTAGGTCACGAAAGCTCATGCTCAAATAAATTAGTTAGTCTCTAAGGTGCCACAAGTACTCTTTTTCTTTTTGTAATAGGGTGGATGATTCTAGGATTATAAATAGTTACAGGGCTCCTTCTGTTGACTCATCCTGAATTTAATTGCTTGAATCCTACATAAGGATGCTGTGTAGTCATCCCTGGTCATACTAGCAGATCGATTTAATTAGAAGGCAAAGGAACCTCTTTCAGGGGCAGAGAGGTCAGCAGGGAAAACTCTAGGAGCAGCCAAGTTTGGGAAAGTTGAGGCTAAATTTACATTATTTAAATTAATAACACCAAACCCCACCTGTACTCTGAGAGCCAGGTAAGAATGCCACCTGCTTACAGCGCTCTAAACATTTATCAAGTGTTCTTTGTGCACACTTTAAAAATACTAAGTATTTTCCTTTAAGTTTGGCTTGATTTTCCTCTCTCAGTTAAGACTACAATTATGCCAAGTTAGAAATTTATAGATCTGCAGTTTAAGTGAGACACAATAAAAAAATATTTTGGGGGCCATAGAAACTATCTTTGCCTTCATGCAACTCAAAAATGGCTGCACTAATTTAACTCTAACATTCAAGAAAAATTCAGCCGTCGGTAAGACAAAGCAAGGGATGTTTTAGTCAGGAAATCAACAAAATGACCACTAACTAGACATACCACCACTGAAACACCCCCAACCCGCTCTGGAAGACAGCTGTCTGAGGTTGTACTTGTAAAATAATGTTCTATATGAATTTTAAACTCCTTACTGTTAATCAAATCACATTCTTGTCAATTTCAAGCAGGTTCATTATTTTGTTGTATTTAGGCCCCAATTGTACAAGTGACTCCATAACGGAAGCAGCTTTTATTACCACATACCAGGAACACAACAGTGTCAAATTATCCAGTCTTCTCTTAGGGCACTTTACAGCGCTGCAACTTTCTCCCTCAGGGGTGTGAAAAAACACCCCACTGAGCGCTGCAGGTTTCAGTGCTATAAAGTGCCAGTGTAGACAGTGCAACAGTGCTGGTAGCTACTCCCCTCGCGGAGGTCGTTTTTTTAGAGCGCTCGGTCTTAGAGGTCTCCCAGCACTCTGCCGCGACTACACAAGCCACGTTAAAGCGCTGTCACGGCAGCGCTTTAATGTTGCCAGTGAAGACATGCCCTTAGTGTAAAATTATTGAGGAAATTGCAAGTTGACATTACAAAAAGCTCATTTTTATCTAGGGTACATTATTATAGCCACCAGTTTAATTAAGGGAGTATAAAATCACCTAATAATTCTTGGATAGAGAATGGCTAGTGAGGTTAAAAGAAGCATGTCAATTGGTTTTGCTCAGTTTTTAGGAAAATATTACTAGAAGTGGATTTATTTTGATTAAGCTCTGATTACACTGTAACTATCTGATGTACCTTATCCTACATACAAATTATCTAGAAAACAAAGAACCAGTACTGCTTTACTACTTGTGGCTCTTTGCTATACAAAAAAGAAAGTCACCTTTACCCTTCAAAGATGAATGGTAAACATCAGATTACTTAGTATATGACTTCTGAACCAGGAGGAAAAAAAAAAAAGATTACTTGGAAGTAGTCTTAATCAGACAAGCCTGTATTTCTACCAGACAAACAACCAGTTTCTCTTGGTGAAAGACAAAAGAGGGCTTACTTCAATAAAAGGCCAGCAATTTACTTACTCATCAAACATTAAGAGGAGCCTGTCTGTTCTTTTCAAGTCCCTGGGGCTTTCTCTACCTTTTTGTCATAGTCCCGATCCCACATGTCATTAATTGTGCAGCCTGCTCCACGCATCAGGACCGCTCCAGTACCAAACAGTGACAGCATATACCAGTCTGGAAAACAGCCTGGCTCTGCTGCCAAGCCTATACTCCATGTGCACGGCAAATACAACAGCCACGTTCCTAGAAAAATGAATTTGAAAGAGATTAGAAAAAGAGAAATTTTAAATGGACTTACTCTTTAGCATGCCACAAAAGGTAAATAAGTGTTGAATTACTAATTAAAAACTTCCAAAACTGCAACACCAAAGCTAAGAGACGGCTAAGACGGTTATCTGTGCAAGGTGCTGCAGTTCCACAATTTGATTGTGCTCCTTTACTTTTCTTTTTCTTCTTCTTTTTGATTGAAATGTTGAATATAAAGACGCTTTATCTATTTTCCCAATAAAAACAGAAAACTCAACCATGGAGGGAATGCAGTGTTTGAACAGTAGCTATAAAATCAGCCATTACAGAGAACATAAGATGTGATGCATACCTTGTTCCACATCTCTATTGAAACCAAATATTTAACGACCTTTACAATTGTTCACAAGGACATATTCCAAAATGGATTTGTCTCCTGAGTTTATATGAATTGTCTAGCCAATCTGTAAAATATTTTATGTTCCAAATGTCACATGACCCGCTGACTAACTGACCGTTTAACCTGAACAAATAAATTGCAATCCTTCTATCTAGAATAGAGGATACTGGATTTCTGGCTTATTACAACAATCTATAAAACAACCCTTCTTTCCCCCTATCACTGGGGTGTGTTAACGGGCCACTTCACCTTAAAAGGTCCGTTGAAATGTGTGTTAACATGTTAGGCTATGTCTCCACTATGGACCTTACAGCGGTACAGTTGTACGATTGCAGTTGCGAGGCTGTAAGGTGTCCCGTGTAGCCACTCTCCTGACAGCATAATTAAGTCACCCTTAACAAGCTGCAGTAGCTATGTCGGCAGGAGATCATCTCCCGCTGACATAGCTTTGTTCACGGGGGCACTTTTGTTGATGAACCTTTTTTGCACACCCCTGACTGACACAAGTGCTAGTGTAGACATAGCCTTTGTCTAAACTTGTGAGCAAGTTTCCCAGACCTGAAGAAGAGCTCTGTGTAAGGCTGTTGGATCATATTAAAGAAGTTCTGTATTAAAATCACAAATGAGTTTGATTCCCCATAGTTTAAATTCCAGGGTACTACTAATTAAGAGGTCTCTTGGTTTTTGGTACTGTTTCTCTCCCTCTATGTGTGAAACTTGCAAGCTGCTAATTGTGTTAGTACATTCTAAGACAGAGTCTGTTCTCAAAGCAATTCACAGAGAGAGAGACTCAAAGCAATACTCTAACAACAGAAACAGCACCCAGAGACTCCCTGCCCTTTTGTTGTATTAACAATTGTGATTAAAATAGAGATAGAGGATGTATGTGGATGGATGCTTGGTGTGGATAATAACTGAATGATCAGGGAGGTGCCAGCCTAAGAATCCAGTGTTCATCAGTTGAAGAAGGCGTCAAGTGGAAATAACCAGAGGACCCCCCCGGAGGGCAGACTGGAATCCACCCAACAGCCTCAAGAATGGGAGAACCAAAGAACAAGATAACATCTTGGAGCACGGAGCCGTCAAGAATGTGCTATCTGCTGATTGGGAATTGCTTCATCATGCTGTTGCTGAATCACAGACTGGCATAGGAAGAAATTCCTATAAAAATAGACTCTAAAAAGTGAGAACTTTGGGGTCTGATTCTGCAAACTAACTTCCAGGAGCATCAGATGAGCATCTGACAAGGCCCTGCTCCCTCCTCATGTCCAGGCCACCTGGCCAGTGGCTTGGCATGAGCAACTCTAAGGCTGGTAACTATGATGATAACCTTGCAGAACCTGTGTGTGTGTGTGTCTGTATGAATGAATGTGTGAATAAATATGAGATTGAATGGAATGTTACAGCTGTAACTCTGATAACTGCTTACTATGATTCTTTCTGTATGCACAATAAATGTGGTATTTTGCCTTTTTCCCTTTAATAAGATCCTGCTGGTTTTTATTTTATTGGTATAACAAGGCCAGGTCTACATTACAGACCTATATTGGTATAACTATATTGCTCAGGTGTGTGAAAAATCCACAATCCCTAGTGAGCTAATTATACCTACCTAATCACCCATATAAAAAGCACTAGGTCAACAAAAGAGCTTCTCCCATCAACATAGCTACCACCTCTTGGGGAGGTGAATTAGCTACCCTGATGGCAGAGGCTTCCACATGGCAATCATAGACATAAAAGATCCCAGGGCACTCTATACAAGTTTAGAGATTTGCCCTACTGTCCTTGATAAACATTTCCCCTCCCATAATTGTACAGTGTTGCTGGGCACCAAACTGTCAGCACCTGATCCTTTGAGTGGTGCTGTACTAGATCACCTGTAAACCACATTCAGGACAAAAGGATTGATTAAGTGTTTTATATTACTAGACTTCTGTTGCATGAAGTATTATTGTAACATGATTTTTGTAAAACAAACACTGGAATTTCTTTTGTAAAGAAAAGTGCTCTCAAACTCAAAAGGCAGTTTGTACTCAATGTCTTTTTTGAGACTCAAACAACAAGAAGTTTTAGATTGCGGCAGGATGAATGGTGGTTTTGAAAGTTGTCCACTGAAAAAAATTATCAGGGACTGTACAGACTAGATACACGTATTACAGTAGATAGTTTAGCTTTGCCACAGACAGCCAATCCAGCAGTCTCTTGGCAGGTGAATGCTGCTGAAATCCATTTTTATAGCAGCACTTTGCATTTCTATAACTCCTTCCCCCTGAAGGCCCCAGTAATTGCAGCAGCCTTCATTGAGTTCACAGCATCCCTGTGAGACAGAGGCACATCACTCCCCAAGGAGAGGGGGACCAAGGCCTGCTGTAGAACATAAGAATGGCCATACTGGGTCAGACCAATTCTCCACCTAGCCCAACATCCTGTCGCCCGATAACGGCCGATGCCAGGTGCTTCAGAGGGAAGGAACGAAGAGCAATCGTCCATTGAGCCACCCGTTGACCACGGCTAGCTCCTGGCAATGCGGGGCTTTCCTCAGCCACCGCTGCGGACAGCGCTTGCGCCTGGCTGCTCGGCACCTTGGGCAGCCGGGCCCGCGGGCTCAGGCGGGGCGAGGAGCTGAACCCGGGGCCCCAGCCCCGGCTCTGCCCAGCCCACACGCGGGAGCGGAAGGCGGCTGTCTGCTCCGCCCCGCCCCGCCGTGACTCACCGATGGGCTTGTCCAGCCTCATGAGCCGCAGGTAGGGCTGCAGCGGGCCGGGGGCCGAGCTCACCAGCCCCGCCGCGGAGAAGCTCAGCGGCCGCCTCCCGCTCCCCGCCTCCCAGCCCAGGCCCAGGCCCAGGCCCAGCGGCGGTCCGGGGGCGCCGTGGGGCGGGACAGCGAGCGCGGCGGCGGGGCGGGCGGGGCCGGCTCGGAGGAGGCGGAGGGGCCCGGCGGCAGTTCCGGGGACCCGGCAGAGCCGTGTTACCAGGGCCGCCATATTGCCCACTCCCGGCGGCGGCGGCGCGCGCGTAGCCTGATGACGTCAGGTGTCGGGGGCGCTCCGTCTCGGCGTCCGTCCCGCCGTGACGTACTGCGCGTGCGCAGCCGTTTTCCCCTCTGCTGCCCGCGCCTCCGCCTCCCGAAGGGCGCGAAGACGCTCAGTCGCCTCGCCTCAAGCTCCTGAGCCCCGCTTGGGCGGCTTCTCCGCCACCCCCGCGGGGCTCGCGGCGTGGGAGCTCCCTTCCCCCCCCCCTCCGACGGCAACGGCGATGCTTCTCCCCGTGGCCATGGGCCTGGCCCCCCCGCATGTCGTGGGTGGCTCGCGCGGGCGGTAGGCGCAAAGCCCTGGCCACGCGCTGCCGCCTAACCGCCCCCCAGGCCTGCCCTGGCTGCCCGCTGTTCTCCCCGTCTCCCCCCCGTGCTCGGGGGCGGGGGCGGCCTTAGAGCCTACAGCCAATACCTGCCTTCAACAACGCACTGGGACTTCGCGCCTTCCCATGGCGCAGCCCTCTGGGCCCCACGGGCCCTTGGCCATTTTCTCCCCACACCCCTCCAAGCCGGGACCTGGCGTTTGCCCTGGGAGCCGGGTGCCTGTGCGTGGCCTGGATTGCAAGAGCTGGCCCTGTACGGAGAAGCCCAGCAATCAGTAACGTTGCAGTAAGGTCACCAGTGGGCAGCACTGAATTCCTGCTCCCTGTGGGGAAGCTGAACCTGTATCTCCCTGCTATGCACCCTACTGCTGTTGGCTTCCTTCATCTCTGAGCTGGATTTTCCCTTGCCATTGCCCTGAATTGTTGGTGTCTCATCCTACGAACTTCCAGGAGTGAAACCTTCTGTCGCTGGCAAAGCCTATGACTGTGCCCACCACTCATTTCCATTTCTCTAGGGCAGGACAACGAGCATCTCTCCGTTCTTAAGCCACCCCTTCCTTCCGTTACAAGTTTGATTCCCAAAAGTCTCCTGGCTACCATTAATCTTTTCAAACCAACGGTCACTTCTTAACCATCTCCTTTTCTCTTACTCTTCACCACCTCTGAGATGCAGAAAAACTGGCCACTGCCTCTGGCTACCACCAACCGGACCTCCTTTCCCCTCTCTGGCATTCTTGCACGCACACCAGCCCAATCCACCTTTTCCCTTCTTAGGTGACCACCACCACCATCAGACTGACCCCCTGGCCCATAAACCCCTACATCCATACCTTCCCAGGAGCCCCTGTCTCCCCCACCCTGGTTCCCACTGTTTACTGCTCTGTAATAGCAAGCCTTGGGTCCATCTGTCCTGCTTCCCAATCCCATCTTTCCCACTGCCAAGAGGAGCAGGAGCCTCAGCCGCCATGGTTTGGGCAGGCAGAGGGTCCAGCCTGCAGAGCAGGACCTGGGTGCGGCACTGGCAGCACTCCCAGCCATGTGACGTGTGGTAGTTAGAAGTTTGCAGCACAGCCAGTTGTGCTGCTGCATGTGTGAGTAGCTTATAGGTGAGGACAAAAAAAAAAAAACAACTGCAACCAGCAAGGCAGTAGAAAAACCATCCAAGCCAGTTGGAAACTGGCTAGATAGCAAGCCTGTTACTAATATAACACATCATTATTTATGGAATAACAATTGCCAACACTTCGAAAGAACCTTCTACCTGAAGAACTTGAAGTACACAAACAGTGAGTAAGGCTCACACCAACCCTGTGGAGTAATTATACATCATTATCCTAATTTATAGATGGGGAAATAGAAGCCCAGAGATTAAGGCTGGGATTTACAAAGGTACTTAGGTGTGGCAACACTGAAGGTTATGGTGTCTAGGAAGTCCCAGGAACAACACTGCAGTCCACCATGAAGACTTAAGGGCCGAAGCTCCCTATACAATGAATAGGGAGAGGTAGGTGCCTAAGGATGCAATTCACAAAAGCCAGCTTGCTAGGTGGGGAGCTGCTAAACTGGCCAATGGGAGGTGCTAACCTGAGTGGTGTTGGAGATAGATGGCTAAATCCTGGCTGTAAAGAGGCATCTCCCTCTATTTAGCAATCCACAAACAGGAAACAGCTGTCTGGAGTCAGGCAGGTTAGGCACCTCTTGTGGGATCTGTCTTACTTCTCATAAAACAGCCAGAAGAGGAGGTCGTAGTGCTCACCTTATAACTTTTAGCCCAGTGGTTGGAGCACTCATGTGGGATGTGGGAAACCCAGTTTCAAGTTCCCCTCTCTGCCACTGGGGGAGAAAGGATTTGAATAGGGGTCTCCCACCTTGTGGGAGTGCTCTAACCACTGAGCTCTGGGATATTATGATGTGGGGCTCCCTCAATCTCTCCTGCTGAAGCTGCTCCAGTGTGGATTAAATAATGAAAGAGTGATTGGAGCAGGTTGACTGGATTCAGGGTCTCCCATCTTCCAGGTGGGTGCCCTACCCATGGAGTCATTCCCCCTCTCTGGTCTCTGACTATTCCACTGTTGTAAATACTTAAGTCATGTGGCCCAAGAGGAAGGGAAATGAATGACTCTGCAGCCCAGTGGGTAGGGCACCTACCTGGGAGTTTAGGTCATTTAATCTCTTTCAGAAACTTCTCTTGAAGTTTGAAACACAGCAAATAAAAAAAAAAAAAAAAAAGAGAGAGGGCAGGGTATTTTGTACTATTCTACAGCCCCAGAAAGCTGCTTGCCCTTTACCGTTTTTGCCTGAAGCCCTTCACCAACACCTCTCCCCCATCCTTAATTCCTCTCACCCAAGGTATATATTGAAAGATGAGGCTCTTTCTCTTCCCACCCCTAAGCAGTAGCAGTTTCACTAAGTATTGCCTTCCTCACATCTCCCTCGAGCAGTTGTAGGCTAGCCTATTCTCTAATTAGGAGAAAATACAGAGATCCCAGGAGTGACGTCTCTAACCTAGAGTACAAACAGTTACATTGGTATAAGGACTAAATCCGTGGAAAAACAAATTTAGGCCTAGTCTACACTAGAAAATTAGGTCAGCATAACTGCGTCATCACACAGGGGTGTGAAAAATCCATACCCCTGAGCAGCATAGTAAACTGACCCAAGTCCCAGTGGAAACAGCGCTAGGTGAGTGGGCAAATTATTCTGTTGATCTAGCTAACACCTCTCAAGGAGATGGATTACCTGTGCCAATGGAGACCCCTCCTGTCGGCATAGGTAGTGTCTACCCTGAAGCACTATAGCGCTTTAGTTTTATTTTTCTTGTAACTATTTCTGACTTTAATGCCTCATTACTTGTACTCGAAATCCATCTCTTCATAGTTAAATAAATTTGTTTTATTCTTTAATTAAAACTAATCCAGTGTTGTGAATTGTTTGGGTAACTTCATTTAAGATAGCACTGTTGGGTACTGACCCTTTAGCGGGGCAACGGAGCTAGTATATCTGGATTGTCCAGGAGAGGTCTGGACACTGCAAAATACACACGGCCGCGGGGGAAATTCAAGATGGGGAGTGCATTAGGGTCACATTGCAAATAGTAACCAATGTTGCTGGAAGACAGAGTGTGGCTGATGTCTGCTAACAAGCTGCTGGGGTCAGAGCTGCTAGGCCAGGGCTGTGGCTTTACACAGCACTCAGGGAGTATGCTGGCAGGCTGATTGTGAGCAACCCAAGTTGTAAGCTATAACAGTGAAGCATTGTGAAGCACCCAAGGTTGTATTGCAGGGGTGACACAACTCCTTACTGGTCTGGATTGCACCCCAGAATGTCATATACATTCCCCACTGCAGAGCTAGGGACATCAAACAGTGACAGATATTTTAACAACAAAATTTAGTCTCCATGTGTTTTAAAATTTCTTCTAGCTAAAAAGAAAAGATCAGGAATATGTTTCGAGTCCTAAACTAGCCTGATGGTGTTTCTTTAAATTAATGACTTGACATTTTAATATTTTGATTTTAACTTTAGTTCATAATATTTTCCTCTGTAGGCCTGGCCTGTAGTCAGTTTCTATATCCACTGTAATATTTTCGCATATTCCAAATCTCTATATTGCATTTTTTTAAAAAGTATTTCTAAAAATGGCATGGGGAGGGAGGGTGTTTGTTTCAATTTCCACATCAGATAGACTCAGTCTACAAAAACAAAGGATATTTCTTTCTAACTAAATGCAAGCCCTGAAAATAGTCAAGCTGGTTCTTTCCTTCTCGCTCACCTCTACCATGGAAGTTTCTGCAGGCCAAATTATGTCTTCTGACAACTCTTCAACCCTGGTGTTGTTATGGAATTTGCACAGATGTAACTGATTGGCATATTATCTCAGAGCTGTTGGCTCTGCAGTTTGAGAGGGAGTAAAAAGCAATACAAATGTACCTTGGTTACTGAAGTCAGCAGATATGACTGTCTACACAGAAAGCTGCATTTTGTTGTACAAGGTAGTGCTATTTTTACATTATGTTTCAGAAAAAACTTTTAAGACCACACCTAGTATATTGTGTTCAGTTCTGGGCTACTCAGTACCAGAGACACTTAAACAAATTGCAGTGAGTTCAGTAAAGAGTAATTAATTAGGGAACTGGAAAGACTGACTATAAGGAAAAGTTAGAGTTATAAATGTTGACTAAGAGGGTGGATATGATAGTTATCTATAATTGATATGAGTAAAAAGTCAGTAAGAGGAAATGTTTGAGCTCAAGGAATATACTGCAAAGGTAGTTAAAGGAACTTAAGAAAATGAAAATTTAGCTGAATATTGTATTAAGAAAAACTTCCTGACTCTGAGTTCTGTTGGACTGTGGAATTGTCCCCCAAAGAGTGAACAAAACAACAGAGTATACAATGTAGAGAACAATCATGTATTGAAAGGAGGATGGACTAAATAACCTAATAGGTCTTTTCCATCTCTAATTTCTATGAACTAATACTTACAGAGTTTACATCTAGTCCCAAAACATTTTCTCTGACAAAAATCCATGCTTTTTTGTGTGTGGATCTTTGTGCCTTTGCTGTTTATCTACCAACTGCCACCAAACATAAAATCTCATTTCAACTTTTCTGCTAAGTGCATTTGGCAACATAAATTAAAAATAATGGGATTTATAAATTAAAATGTAAAGAACTTTAAGTTCTTTAATTACAGTACTTCACTTCAGTTATTTATCAAGGCCTCTTCTTACTGCTACTTATTACTTAATTTAGTAGTATTAATACTATGTGATATTGTTTATGGAATTTTTATATATTCTGGTTTTGATGCCTAATAGATTTAAATCTTATTTTACAGATGACTTGTTTCAGATTATATGTGATAAACATTTTTGGATGTGGGCTGTCACAGCCCTATCTTGGTATTTTACTAATCTCCCTTTACAATCTCCCATTACAGTCTGCATTCAGATTACAAAGAACATCATCAGCATTACCAGATCTTGTGATATTTCACATATTTTAAAGTCCTAGCTCCTGGAGGCAACTAATTACGTGAAGATCTCAGTTTCCTTTAAAAAAGTAAGTTTCAACCTCCCTGCTGGAGGAGAAAAGCCTGAATAAATCACCTGTGTGCACTCTAAAGGCTCAGTTACTTGGGAGGCAAAATAAAAAACAAACTTTAAAAAAAAATCTCATGATTTTTGGGGCCTGACTCCTGATTTTTGAATGCTTGGGGTTGAGAGTGTTGCACTAGAAATACAGAGAGCACTTGTTATGAATTGAGGAAATGAACTTTGTAGCATAGTTTAAGTAATTGCTCCCTCTTGTGGCTAATTTCACACTATACGTTTATAGATTTCATTTTTAACCAAAATCTCGGTGTAGCTCATTGAGCAAGGTGCCTGCCTGATTTGGATAAGAATGCACTTTACAGTTAACATTTTTGTCATGGGTGCATTTTTACTGCAATAGCTGTACTATGAATATATTACACATGGATAGCTCCTTTCACCCAAGTACTTCTCATTGTTTTTACAAAAGTAGGTAAATATTTATTCTCTTATGCAAACAGAGAGACTGAGCCACAGGAAGGTTAAGTAAATTGTTCAAGGCTACACAGTGAGTGGCAGAAGCAAGAATAGAACTCAGGTCTCGATGGCCATTGTGGTGACAAAGCCACTAGACAATTGCTATCTTGCCATTACTACCCATTGCCTCTGCAGCTATTCTGGACACCTGTTTTTGTGGACATTCTCTTCTTACCCCCAAACAAATGTGTTGAGTTCAGTCTCTTTCTATGCAAGAGGTTTACATGTTGATTTAGCGAGAGTCATTTATGACAGGAGGCCTCTTACAAAACAAGCTTCAGGTGACTATGTAGTATCGAGAATCAAATCGTCATGACTCTGTGACCTTTGTACTTCTGCAGAAGGCTAAGTGGTGCCTCATGCCACAGCGTCCCTCCCTTTGAGTTTGACAGACCTGACAAGTTCTACAACAGGGGTGGCCAACCTGTGGCTCTGGAGCCGCATGTGGCTCCTTACCTAGGCACTGACTCCGGGGCTGGAGCTATAGATGTTAACTTTCCAATGTGCTGTGGGGTGCTCACTGCTCAACCCCCTGCTCTGCTCCAGGCTCTGCCCCCACTCCACCCCTTCCCCCGAGCCTGCCGTGCCCTCGCTCCCTCCCCCCCCACCAGAGCCTCCTGTGCACTGCATAACAGCTGATCGTGGTGGGTGGGAGGTGTGGGGAGGGAGCAGGAGGCACTGATTGGTGGGGCTGCTGCAGGCAGGAGGCACTGCAGGTTGGAGTGGGGGGAGCTGATGGGGGTAGGGGGCTGCTGACATATTAGTGTGGCTCTCTGGCAATGTACATTGGTAAATTCTAGATCCTTCTCAGGCTCAGGTTGGCTGCCCCTGCTACTTGTTGCAAAGAATCATAGAATATCAGGGTTGGAAGGGACCTCAGGAGATCTAGTCCAACCCCCTGCTCAAAGCAGGACCAATCCCCAATTTTTGCCCCAGATCCCTAAATGGACCCCTCAAGGATTGAACTCACAACCCTGAGTTTAGCAGGCCAATGCTCAAACCACTGAGCTATCCCTGCTCTACAAACTTAACTTTAAATCCATTGAAATTAAAACGTCTTATAAAGAACACAGTGATCCACTGGTGGAGTGAATGTCCATTTACAGCAAAATGAAATGAAAGTCTTCAATCACAAGCCTAGTTACAGTGTAATTCTATGGTAAAAAAGATGGTATGATGAGTTCCATTGTTATCCAGTATGTAGATGTAATGGATATTTTTTTAAAGGATTGATATCTCTAGTGATCCACTATTAATCATGTGGAGTTACTATTACTGCATCCAGTCAACAATGTACATTAGACGTTAAGGGCCTGCTGAATCCTTTACATAATCAGAGAAGCAGCATTTATATGACAAAAGCCTGCTTTGGTCCAATTTAAATCAATGGTCAAACTCCCATTGATTTCAGTGATAGCAGTAGTAGACCGTGTGTGTTTACATGCATAAAATATTTCAGTGCATACATTTTTATGATCCAAGATAGCTAATCTTCAGAAACAGAGTTGCAGTAAATCTGGGCTCAGTAATCAAAGTTCTACTTTGTCACAGAATGCAATTTATCACAAAGAGATTTCACAAAAATGATAATTTCCTCAAGGTTGGATATTAGTCACAAGTACACTTAGAGCTCTACACCCTCAAATGGATTACACATCAATGCAATGATAGGGTGGAAGCAGACACTCACAATCACTATAATTAGTCTCCATAAATCATTTCACAATGAGTTTGCATACAAGTGCTTTAGATTTTCTGTTTATCATCCTTTCTCCTTTCCTAATTCCTAGTCATATTTCCAGCAATAATCACTGATTGTTCTTGTAGTGCAGTTTTGTTTATGCTGTATATTTTGATTTGTCTGTATTGTTGGGTTTTGGGATATGCCTGAGGTCTGAAGATTTATTATTTGAAACTGTGGCAATGATTTTAAAAAAAGCCAAAAGATTAGCCCTTTGTTCATTGTATGGTCCTAATCCTGCACACACACACTAAAATGTTTGCGGGATTGGAACCTAAATTAGCACACATGTTAAATTAACTGTCCAATTAATTTTTTTTAGATTAACAATTACTTAAAGCATTATTTCAGATAGAGCACCATTTAAATAGCATGCATGTTAGAAAATTCCTTTAACAGTTAAGCGTTTTTTCCTGCTTCCCTTTTAATGTTTAGCTGGGCCTTTCGGGCAATCCAGAGAGCAAAACCAAAAATACTCCAGTTCACTTTTTTTCTCTCTGCTCATACTATGACAGACTGATAATAGCCTGGCCAAACTTTATGGAAGTAAGATAAATTTACTGAATTAAGTTAGAACTTATTGAATTAGGTTTAATACCTTTGTGGTCTGTTGTGTTAAATATCAGTTGTGTATGTGTTATTGGAATTGTATATAACTCCTCTAGGAGGTGGGGGACGCTAATCACATTTCTGCAGTTATCAGCCCTTTGACGCCACCTTCTAGAGAGGTGAGCATATACTAGTTCAAATGGGATTCTCTAGGGACCAACAGAAAAAGAAAGGATTTCTGGATAAATAACCTGGTTTTAAACAGGTTCAGGACCTTCTTCCTGCTGTGGCAAACAAACTGGACCCCTGCTTCATAGAGGGTCCCAATCCTTAGGGAGGGGTTAGAAGGAGTTGGCCTACTGAGGCCCCATAAGATTGGATGCTTTGTTCTGAGCTGAAACTGACAAACTTGAAATTACAGTGAAATTCCTTGGGTGGTGTTTTGAAGGACTGCTGCTGCCGAAGCCCACAATAGGGTTGGAGTGATCTCTGGCACAGGCGCCGATTCCGGGGTGCTCCGGGGCTGGAGCACCCACAGGGAAAAAACAGGGGGTGCTGAGCATCCACCGGCAGCCCCCCTATCAGCCTCCCCTCCTCCCGCAGTGCCTTCCCCTCCCTGTGCCTCCCAACTGCTGTGATCAGCTGTTTCGCGGCATGCAGGAGGCCCTGGGGAGGAGCAAGGACACACTGTAATCGGGAAGGGGCGGGAAGAGGCAGAGCGAGGTGGGGCCTGGGACAGAGCTGGGAGTTGAGCGCCCCCCCCAGACGTTGGAAAGTCAGCACCTGTGATCTGTGGTAAGCTTTTTGGCATGCATGTAGGTTCCTTTGTAATTCTGAATATGTTTTCACCTTAAGAGTAAAATAGGTTTGCAGAGGAAGAGCTGTATATAAGTGTGGGCAATTACTTTGTTGTTAGCCTTTGAAGAGAAAGTAAGCAGTCCTGGTTAGGTACTCTGACTTTTGTAGGAGATACCAGAGTACAGTCAGGGGGCTGTGCAGGCCCAGTCAGGAGGAAACGAGACTATCTCAGTTCGAGAGAGGTGATGGCCAGGCGAGCCGGAAGCCTAGAGTGGATGCCTTTGCTGGATCACAGAAGGGGAATACAGGTGCAGTTGCTCTGAACTGTTACACATACAGCTGCATACTGCTTCCTATTTGTTCATTTTAAGCTCCTCTGCTGTGACTGGTAAATACTCTCTTTAAGGTCTTACAGAAAAAGCATGCACCATCAGCAAAAAGGAAACAAATTAGCAAAAAGAGGAAAGAATGTTATAGTAATCTTAGAATTTGTAACAATAAGTACAAAAATTGTAGATGCAAATATGATTTTCAATTTGACTATCATTTTGTAAGGTACAATAAGAACTTTTGCTGTTCTGTTTTACCTGTCTCCACCCAAAGACATAGGGCCAGTTTCAGAGTCATGCTTTCTCGAAGTTCCCAGCCATTTGATTCTACAGTTTGGATTTGCATCCATCTCTATATATCATTTCTCCACTTCATATGAATATACCTGTCAAGGTTCCTTTCCCACTCTGAACTCTTGGGTACAGATGTGGGGACCACATGAAAGACCCCCTAAGCTTATTCTTACCAGCTCAGGTTAAAAACTTCTCCAAAGTACAAACTCTGCCTTGTCCTTGAACTGTATGTGCCACCATCAAGCGTTTTAAACAAAGAACAGGGAAAGAGACCACTTCCCCCAAAATATCCCCGCAACCCCTACACCCCCTTTCCTGCAGAAAGCTTGATAAAAATCCTCACCAATCTGTACAGGTGAACACAGACCCAAACCCTTGGATCTTAAGAACAATGAAAAATCAATCAGGTTCTTAAAAGAAGCATTTTAATTAAAGAAAAGGTAAAAGAATTACCTCTGTAAAATCAGGATAGTAAATACCTTACAGGGTAATCAGATTCAAAACAGAGAATCCCTCTAGGCAAAACCTTAAGTTACAAAAAGACACAAAACCAGGAATATACGTTCCCTCCAACACAGCTTATTTTACCAGCCATTAAACAAAAGGAAATCTAACGCATTTCTAGCTAGATTACTTACTAATTTAACAGGAGTTGTAAGGCTGCATTCCTGATCTGTTCCCAGCAAAAGCATCACACAGACAGACAAACCCTTTGTCCCCCCCCTCCAGATTTGAAAGTATCTTGTCCCCTCACTGGTCATTTTGGGGCAGGTGCCAGCA